ACACAAGGGGACTATGACACACATAACAACACAGTACACACATGACACACACATAACAACACAGTATTTACACAAGGGGACTATGACATGACACACATAACAACACAGTATTTACACAAGGGGACTATGACGTGACACACATAACAACACAGTATTTACACAAGGGGACTATGACATGACACACATAACAACACAGTATTTACACAAGGGGACTATGACGTGACACACATAACAACACAGTATTTACACAAGGGGACTATGACATGACACACATAACAACACAGTATTTACACAAGGGGACTATGACATGACACACATAACAACACAGTATTTACACAAGGGGACTATGACATGACACACATAACAACACAGTATTTACACAAGGGGACTATGACATGACACACATAACAACACAGTATTTACACAAGGGGACTATGACATGACACACATAACAACACAGTATTTACACAAGGGGACTATGACATGACACACATAACAACACAGTATTTACACAAGGGGACTATGACATGACACACATAACAACACAGTATTTACACAAAGGGACTATGACATGACACACATAACAACACAGTATTTACACAAGGGGACTATGACATGACACACATAACAACACAGTATTTACACAAGGGGACTATGACATGACACACATAACAACACAGTATTTACACAAGGGGACTATGACATGACACACATAACAACACAGTATTTACACAAGGGACTATGACATGACACACATAACAACACAGTATTTACACAAGGGGACTATGACATGACACACATAACAACACAGTATTTACACAAGGGGACTATGACATGACACACATAACAACACAGTATTTACACAAGGGGACTATGACGTGACACACATAACAACACAGTATTTACAAGGGGACTATGACGTGACACACATAACAACACAGTATTTACACAAGGGGACTATGACATGACACACATAACAACACAGTATTTACACAAAGGGACTATGACATTACAACACAGTATTTACACAAGGGGACTATGACAACATAACAACACAGTATTTACACAAGGGGACTATGACACTATGACATGACACACATAACAACACAGTATTTACAGAAGGGCACTATGACTATGACATAACAACACAGTATTTACTATGACATGACGTGACACATAACAACACAGTATTTACACAAGGGGACTATGACATGACACACATAACAACACAGTATTTACACAAGGGCACTATGACATGACACACATAACAACACAGTATTTACACAAGGGGACTATGACGTGACACACATAACAACACAGTATTTACACAAGGGGACTATGACATGACACACATAACAAGTAATACATTCAACCACATCAGTGCAATGATAACTGGTATAAAAAATGTAAAGTTTGGTAAAAGAATATTATGGTAAGTGTTCTATATACATAAAGGAATAAATATTAGCACTCAAAACAGGTTATGAAAGAGTGAATAAAATAACATTGAGGTAAATGCCTGATGCAGAAGCTACACATTTAAAATACAAAAGATAATAAATCAACGGGGCGTAAGATGTGAGGGTGAGGTTTGAGAATAAAACCGATAAAAATTTAGTGTAAATATACTGGTTTAAAATAGCGATGCTGGTTGGAATAAATGTTTTTGATGCCCTGTTAGTTGTGAAAAGTGGAGTTTGGAAGCGGCGTCCGGAAGGTAGAAGTTTATATTCGTTATGAAGAAAATACTCGGAGTCGGAAGCAATTTTGGAAGCAAATTTTTCAACATGCCGCGTGCCTAAAAGAGTTAGATTTTCCAAAGAGACTCCTGATAATTTGCTGGTTTTATTGATGATTTTGGACTATTTGTTTTTGTTTTGTAGTGAAAGGGACCCAAACCAGCTTTGTATGCTAAAACAATGAATGCTTTGAATAAAGGTTTTGTAATATAAAACAAGTGTGAAAGAATTGACATTGAAAAAATGGTCATTCAATAAACTTTCAGGACAATAGGGGGGTGGGGATGCGCCCCCCTGCAAAACCCCACCCCCCTGGATCCGCCTATGATGCTTCGGTTAACTTTCTTGGCCAAATTACCTTGTTTTCATTTTGCAAACCCTAGCAGAAATCATGACCCATATGTCATTTTTGACAAAATGTCCTGAACCTCTGAGGGTAGAAATGTAAATATATCAACACGGATGAAGGAATTTAATTATTTTTCATTACGTGTGACATGTGGTGTACAAAGTTGACAAATCAAATGTTTTTTACAGATATGAACTCGTTCCGGAACTGGAATTGAAAACACTCCGGCAAAGCCATTGAGTTCACATGGTCTCAGAACCTGTCTGTTAATTTAAAAAAGGTCCTTCCTTGATAGTGTTAAGTATTGTGGTGGATCTTTTGAGACGATGAATTGATGGTACATTTCCTGGTCCCAACAATATGTCTCCCTTTGTGTGCCTGTTTCTGAAGTTATAATCCAATACGAAAGAGGAATGGGCATGTCTTCCGGTTTTAGCGTCAAGCGACATACAGTGGAAGTAGAATCCTGCTTGTATCGAAGTACGGATAACTCTATAGCGTATAAACAGATTCACGCATCGAGTCAATAGGGTTTCACATTTATTTCAAAGGTATTTATGGTTTAATCGCACGTTGAACTACATACAGCCAATAGTTGTACATAGAGTCTCAGCAGCAGCAGCTCAACATCAGAGTATCCTACTGAAAAGAAGAAATTTGATTTATCTCACGGGATCTTATCTTTTAAGTTTTTTTAACTTAGCAGATGCATGTGACCACTGGCGGACGGATATTAATAAACACAGAGTAGAATTGTATCCCGACTCTTTAAATGAAATAAGAAAACCATTCTCTATTACAGCTGCAGATATAAGAGACAAGCCGGTAAGCTTACTTGTTTACCAGCCTGCATCCAGGGAGATGGAAATAGTTCCGAACTTAATTACATCTGATGCAATGCCATGCCTTATTCATGTCTTGGCATGGCCGATAGGTGCAGTAATCGTCATCAGGAAAATCGGAGCATGCTATTGTGGCGTGGTGTGTGTACGTGTGCGTGTGTGCGTGCGTGCGTGCGTGCGTGCGTGCGCTAGCCTGGACTATTGCAACTTTTTTTAGTGCTCGCTCACAGAGTTGCATTCAATGCCGAGCGCGAGGTCTGGTAACAGAAAGTATCATTTCAGAACTGAGATACAGAGAAGCTTGTTTATGCGTTCGCTCGTCGGGCGGACCGCCTGGTTCGATTCTCCGCGTGAGTACATCATGTGGCGAGTAGCCTCAAATCCAACTGTAAACGTGCATGTCTGCATGTTGCCTGCAGTATTTTGCAATGTACCTGTTATATGGCGATATGAACATAATGGAGTCTGGGTTGTGAAACCAGTGGTTGATAGGAACGGTCCACCCAATCTGGGTCCACCCATGTGACATGTTGTAATCATCCATTCTTTATCTGTCAGCTCTTACCAAAACATAATTACCGAAACATTATTGGCCATATTCTTCACGGGGTCATAAAAGGGGATTTCAAGCGCATATCAAATGGGGTATTGTTTTGGGTGCGGGTGTTGGGTGCGTTGTGTGCGTTGTGTGCGTTGTGTTTTTAGCCAAGTAATAACTCATACACTCGAAGTCTGCCGTCCAAGGATAATTATTTATAGAATATAGAAGAATCGGATGCCATCAATTAGCAACAAATATTAACTCAGGTTGGAGGAAGCAGCAATAAAGGCAAGATACCGTATTAATGAGTGAGTGAGTGAGTGAGTGAGTGAGTGATTTTAGCGCCACACTCAGCAATATTCCAGCTATATGGCGGCGGTCGGTAAATAATCGGGTCTGGACCAGACCATTCAGTGATCAATATAATCAGCATCGATCTACGCAGCTGGGATGCAATGACATGTGTCAACCAAGTCAGCGAGCCTGACCACCCGATCCCGTTACTCTCCTCTTACGCATGGGTTACTGAACTTGATGATCAAGTCTAACCCGGATCTTCACGGGTCTGTATTAATGACAAGTTCTTTTTTCTATTATAATACGACCTTTCTTTTATCCGTGTAGCTCTTTATAATGTGCTCGGTGGTGGGGTGGCCTAGTGGTTAACGTGGGTTCGATTCCCCACATGGGTACAGTGTGTGAAGCCCATTTCTGGTGTTCCCTGGTGTGATATTGCTGGAATATTGCTATTGTAAATCTAAACTCACTCACTCCTTATAATATCATCAAGTATTTGAGATTATGATTGTGAGACGGTATAAAATATACAAAGCTCATACGTTTAATTACAGATGATAACTGGAGCGCTCTGTAGTTCAATCAACTCCTTGTAGGCAGATGGGATGAGGTAGCCTACCCTTGGTCTCTGTTAAATTAGGGCTTGTGTCGGCGGATATGAACTGCTTCTGCTAATATTCCATTGCCATTGTTCACTCTTGCTTGGCAACAGTATAAAGATCTATAGTGAATAGTCGCATCATAATACCAGAATGAAGAAGCTGTCATCTATAAAGTACCTTGCATTTATTGTTTCTCACCAACTTCTAAAATGACAATCTAACAGGTGGAGGATACAATTTGTGAATTACTATATCGCATAAACAATGAATTAAAAAACCAAAACAACAATACAAATTGTACATGGAACCTGAAGACGTTTTGGTTTTAAACACATCATATCTATGTTTACTTGTTACATCCTATCCGTTATCGGGTAGCACGTTTGTGAGTGCCAGTATCAGATACCATATATCTGGTTTAACATGGAGTTTTAATACCTGAAAGTGGTTCATTCGATTCCCAATAAACAGTTTCAATGTATATCGCAATATGAAAATACGGTTTTATTGTTAAACGGGAAACATCTGCGTGGCAACATGGGTCAAAACCGTGGCGTGGAATAAATAGCCAGTGAATATGAACTCATAACGCGTACAGTGACGTCACGATGTCAAACAGGAAGTCGTCCATGTTTGTAGATGGCGGCCGGGGAGAAAGGGTTGATCCTTCGAGGAAGGAATTTAGTTTTGCATCGACTATGAAGAGTTTGGAGACATCACAACACGACGAGAGTTCAATGAACATATTATAAACCACCAGGGATGCAATTTAATGCATCTAGAACGTCCATGGTCTCTGAAGTTGGGTGAGAACTTTGTCAGTCGTTGCAACAACACGTCTCTCTAGTGGCATCTGAGTGTCGAGAACAGTGGTGTAGTATTCATTGCTGAGGTTTCGTTGTAATGTTTATAGTTCCGCGTTAATCTCACCCTACAGGTTAACCGTCGTCGACTTTGTAACGATTCACTGACACTGCCTGTTCAGCATGAATTAGACATAGATATGAATTTTGAAAGAGGTCTGAATCGTGTGTGGGAGATTTACCGGTGTGTTGTTTACATATTTTCCACTCTACAAGGCGTTTTACAAGATCTTTGTAACATGGGTATATGATCCAAAACGCTCATTTCTATCATTTAGAGCTTAAATTCATCATGATATAAATACCCATTATGATTTCTGTTAAGGGGAAACAAGTTTGATCAAGGTATGTGATCAGAACCGAGATTTCTATTTCTAATTCTATTGATCTCTGACATATCCAGACTGTTCCTTGATGCAACCAGGTTATGCGTCTATGACTTTCCATAATCATGATGACAATAACAAGCTTGTAGTTGTGTGCAGGTGAGCCATGCTTGAGAATGATGGAAATAACAATTAACATCCATAATTTCTTGTGTATCTGACAGGTTGTTTTACAGAATACATCAGTGTGGAAGTTTGTATGTGACTGCTGAATAACTGTTTATATGAAGCATGTTTGTTTCATACCTGTTTGAACTAAGTGTTTTCTGTACGTGTTTATCTCTGAAAAGAAAATGTAACACTCTATGGTTTTAATCTGCACCCTAGGGCAATCATCTTGGGCACTTATTAAGGTGGATGGAGTACCCTATAGTCATAGTCAAGCTACAGACTAGTTATTCTGTCACTGGTATTTTAGGATCAGTCTTACCTGTGTGTAACCATGACATATCCAGGGGTGGAAATAACTTTAAACTTGCTAGTGTACTCTGGTACAGTTGCACATGTAAAATCACTTGCCCTGATAATTTTTCCACTATACCGGCCGTTTTCGTGTTTGTTTTTTTAAATAAACAACATAATTAACATCGGAAAGTGAACTGGACACCGGGACAGTGTGATATACAAATTTGCTTGCCCAACAGAAAAAACACTGGACTCAGACGTCGGGCAATGGGTTATTTCCACCCCTGCGTATCAGATAAACGTGATTGTGTATCACATTACCAGATATTTTGGCTTCTTGCATGATAAGACTAATAATCCAAATATTTAAAATTCAAGTTTGAAGAAGACTTTTAGGGTGAAACAATAAAACAAGGTCACGAATTAATAGATATCATGATGCATGTCACAATACAATTCATGATATGCATTACTTCATGTGGAGACGTCTGGTGCATATTGACTATAGATACTTCAGAGGTGGTTCAAAAGGAACATGCAGCTGTAGTCCATGGTGGACAGGTTTTTGTAGCGACTGTTTTTACGTAATTGAAATGTTAATTGACAGTTTGCAACACTTGGCGTACAAGAGTACAATGTGTGAAGCCCATTTCTGGTGTCCCCGTGCTGAGGTATTGCTGGAATATTGCTAAAAGCAAGATAAAACTAAACTCATTCACTCTTTCACGTTGGTGATTTGTTTTTCATGTAGTAATACATTACTGGTGCATCTGAGATGTAATTCTGGTGAATGACTGAAACAGTATTGGATTAGCATACATCTTGGAGTTAGTTCAGATGAATTAACAACATGTATATTTTGGATAACTATACTCTTAGCATGAGAGTACTTGGTGGTGTCCATATAACTTTTTCAATGTTTTGTCATCCAAGACTATGTGCCATGCAAGATCAACAAATTGATCATTAATTCTAATGGCCTGATCTCTTCTTCATGTTCTTATGCTTGTGGCTATACCAATCATCATGTCTATAAGCAGTGATAAGGCAGTGCTGGAAATTAAGAAATGTTTGAAATTCTACAAACCTTATGATGCCTTTAACATCAACAAAACTGATCCAAGCTTCAGGGCAAGGGCTAAATATAATCTTCCCCATAATGACTCCTTTGGAAAATGCTGTTAAAGATGAAATTAGGAATAGCACCACAATTTACTGATCATTTTGCAGATCTTGCAGTGGACATTAAGATTTTTACAACAGAATCTTTAAATTGTATGTATGGTAGCATGTTTGGGTTCATGTTACTGTTAGCAGGGGCGGTGGGGTAGCCTAGTGGTTAAGGTATTTGCTTGTCATGCCGAAGAACTGGGTTTGATTTCCCACATGGGTACAATTCACTCATCTTAGCACATTCCGTTCCTTGTCTATCTCATTTTGAGGCCATGGGTTCCAGGGAATGACTTCTCTTGTACCTCCCCCCAGGGTATGCAGTGTACATTTTTTGCATCCAATCACAAGTTGTGTGTGATAACGACACGGTATTTTGTACCTGATAAAGTACTGATGACGGTTCATCTGATCAGAGACCAAATATTTCATAGATTATCATGATTATATGGTCTCTTGTCTTATGTTTAACCCAGTCTTCCACACTTGCACCATGCTCACTGACATGTCTGATGGGTGCTGTAATGTTTCTCAAAATTGACAACCCAAAGACGAAACTGCTTATCCAGCTTCTGCGTATCTGCTGCGTTTTCAAAATTATTTCCTACTGTATTGTGCATATTATTTATCCGTACATGCTGATACGGCCCTTATCTGGAGCCCTGATTACAACTATGAAAATTCAAAATAGAAAGATGATAAAGTAACCAATAACATTTTGAATAATAATTGATCAAATGCATTCTAAACATTCGATAAGGACAAAATATACATATCTGTTGGCATGCTGCAAATATAAATTGAAAGAAACATTCTCTCTAACAGAAGTAATTGCATGTTTCCATGGTTACTGTAAAATAGAAACAACTCTCTCTCTCTACAGAAAAATTGAACAAAAATGAGCTGATGTTTTGTTTGCTTGTTGTTTAACATTGCACCCAGCCATAGGGCGGCGTATGAGCTAACGAAGGGGGATAGTCTGGTTATTTATGTTTCAGATATTAATTAAACACAGCTAGTTCCTAGCATAATCAGTGTTGGCAGCAGAAAATAAGTCTTATCGGGGGATCATAGTAATCAATACATATATATTCCTAATTGATAGATACATTCCAACTTAATTATATCTGTTGATGATGTCCGTATCGTACCACGGACTAATGTTGGTGCTGTATTGATTCGGTTTTCATGACAACCAACATGTTTTTGTCTGTGACTGCAAGTTCCACAACATCCATGCAGTAAGCTGGTAGGAAATTGGTGTCTAATCATTCATGCTCATGTGATATCCTTGCATGTTACAATGCCCAGGTGATAACGAATAATGGTATCAAGGACTTACTGCTACATGTCCTTAGGGGCAGATATTTTGACCCTAGTCATTTGCAGATATAGGAAGCTTGTATTGCTGAGGTGACTGATAAAAAGGACAAGTTGAATGCTTTTTGTCATTATGATGCAATGATAGACTTTAGATAATAGTAACGTTGACAATTTCCATTATTTATACGGAATCAAACTATTTTTCCCAAATTGCCGTTTGGATGAATAATTTAACTGCAATGATCCAATAGCTGAACATCCTAACAGAAGATCTTTAGTAAGGCCCAAGGTAGCGTATGTTGTGTACATGGACTACACTAACTATATTATGCGAGTGTGAATGGCCTAGGGCTAAACTAATTTTGTTATTGTTGCAGGCCTACTAACTGCTAACTGCCTGTGCGGGTGTGAGTGGCCTGTAAGATGGGGAATTGTATGTCATGCTGTAAGACTAAACTAATTTTGTTAATGTTGCAGGCCTACGCTAACCTAATTTTGCAGGCTGCCTGCTGGTGGTGTGAGTGGCCTGTCAAATGGGGAAATGTTTGTCATGCTGTGAGGCTCCAGGACAGCCTGGTCCTGATGCCCAGTTCGTTGACCCGCAAAGCGCCATCTCATCTTCACAGTCAAGGTCATCCACAGGATTTGTCTCCGAGTCCAAAGAGCTGAAACGTACAGCAGCAGCCACAGACACCAACTACGGAACTGGTCGACCACCGATAGCGCCGTCAGACAAGAAAATGTTCACGCAATACCCTAAACTCCCTCCAATTAAAAAACAAAGTAATGGTGATAGTAAACGATTGTCACTCATTTCTAAGGATTTTCAAGAATCAAAGGTTATAGCCATGTTTGACATGTATAAAGATGCAGAAGGTGATGATGTCATTTTGGCAGAGGGTGTGGAGAAATTCTGTGAAGATCTGGATGTGAAGCCAGAAGAATATATTGTCCTTGTCATTGCTTGGAAGTTCCAGGCTGATCAAATGTGTCGTTTTACCCGTGATGAATTTATTAATGGTTGTAGGAATCTCAAATGTGACTCTCTGAAGAGCATCCGATCCAAGTTCCCAGAACTTCTTTCGGAAGTGGAGAACAAACAGTCCTTCAAGGACCTTTATCGCTGGACGTACAAATTTGGCCTTGATTCTGACACAGGTCAGAGGACTTTGCAGACTGAGATGGCCATGAGCTTGTGGAAGCTGGTGTTCTCTCAGCATGAGCCACTGCTTCTTGATCATTGGCTTGAATTCCTCTCCAAACATCAGAATATTCGAGGCATTCCAAGAGATACGTGGGACATGTTCTTGAACTTCACCGAGCAGGTGGGTGAGGATCTGACCACTTATGACGACACAGAGGCGTGGCCAAGTCTGTTTGATGATTTTGTTGAGTTTGAGAATGATCGTCAGAATCAAAATGTTATGACTGACTGATGTTCGATGTTCTGTGATTATATGAGTGCTTCTGTGTAGTAATAGTGATATAACTGTGTTTCTATCTGGTTGTTCGGGAAATGGCCGTGTGTGTTGGTTATGTAAGCTAGTGTTTTCATCTCGAGAAATTATTTCCCTTCTTCAAATTCTTGATAGCAGAAGAAATTTACCATGACGGTATGAATGTGGGCTTGAACTGTTTATCAAATTTCAGGAATGTTGGTGATTGGAGAAAATTGATAACGTGACCTTTTTCATGGAAACCCCCCAGTTTCACCATAAGGCCTTTACTCTTGTCTCACTTAACACTAACTATATGTGTTCATCAGATCATGCTCATACCCAACGTCCCACTGGTGGCCTGTTAGCTTTCACTGTCATCACTTTCATGTTCATGCATCGCTTGTACAGGTGTCCTCATCCTTCATCGTCGTCGTCGGAAACAGTTCACTGTGTGCATGCACATAAACGGTTTATAGACTAGAAGTGATTTCTGCAGTTTCGTAACAGAATGGAAGAACAGACTGGATCATCCAGTATATTCTCCACTACTCAAAAGACTTTAAGGATTACTCCTTTGCTTGCATTCAGTCATGACACAACAAATTAACTCTAGTGAAATCAAAGATTCTTTCAGTGGTCCTTAACGTTTGTGAGCTATAATATTATAAATACCCCACAAAGATTTGCTGTCTCGGTTCTTTGTTGCATGATTCAAACGGCATGATGTTAAAATTTGCTGTCCAATCACCTTTGTTTGTTACACTGAGAAATTCTGAAGTTAGAGATTGGAGTGATCAAGTTAGGGATATCATTTCTGAAATGGAAAGTTAAGACTGTGAATGGACCAAGAATATTTTTCAAATCAACTGGACATATAATACACTGGATAACGGAAAATATCTTGAAGTAAATTCACAACCAAATGTTATCATGATTGTGTGGAATAAATATCAAATGAGGTTACAGATATTCACAATGACAGTGATGAAAGCAGATATATATACTTGTTTCTTTTATCCAAGAAAGCCGTTAGAATGAAAGGGTGGGTATGAATAGAAGTGTAAATGATCAGTTGGAATAGCATCTTGCTGTTGCAAACACTGGTTTCTTATTGTTAATAGGCCTCAGTAAGAGTAAACTTGATCTGTTGTCCTTAGGCCTTGGCTTACACATGACTTGTAACTCTCTTGTCATCAACAACAAAGGCCTGTCAGTTTTCATCTACATATGTAGTGGTGATGTTAATGGGCTTCGTTAAATTTCACATTATGTAATTGTTGTAATGAAGAAAACCAAAGTTTGGAGTTACCATGAAACTTTCACCACCTCTTACTCTTGAATAAAGCCAGAATTCAGAATTGGCTCCATTAAAAGTGTCCAAATTTCCCCAGTCTGATTCTCATTGCCTTGGTCACTTGTAGAAATGTTACAGGTCATTTTGTTTTGGATATGTTTGTTTTCTTTCGCAATATGTGCAGTTTCATTCCCAGGCACAGTTTTAGAAATATGAAGGGAAAGGGCGGGATCCTTTTCAATACCTTCAGACCTCAGTAAAATAGTAAGTAGATATTTGCATTAGTGGATGATGATAATTACTGTCTTAGCATATTTATAGTTGTAATGTGTTCTGGCAGTATGTAGTTATCTCTAAATTGATTTCTGGATTTTGTTGAAGCCAGAGAGGAATGAGCTTGTCTTCATGTTGTACTTGCCAAGTTTGGAAGGAGGGTTTATATATATCTTATAAAACAGTTCAAAATGTATGAGAGGATTACTCCTGTGGGGCACAAAGTAGAAGCAGCTGATTGTGGAGTTAACTTCAGTTTCCTACTTGTTAACTGGTATCATCATCATGCTGTGACGATATGGCAGCCTTTGTCATAATAGTCATATAGTTTTGATAACTGCACCACATTTGTGAACATACAGAACAGTGCAGAAAATATGTATTTTTTGTTGTTGTTGCTTTTATCATGTTAATTTGATTTAAATTATTAAGAAGCTCACCGGAACATAGGCCCTGTAGCTGCTCATCATGGCTTGTGAACTTATGTGAACCTTGCTTATGACCAACTGCTGTAAAACACCACCATGGACCATGTTGAAATCTGTCAGCGTGTTAAGATGAAGATATGTTGTTGCTGTGAACAGTTACAACAGATGGAAAGTCCTCAATGTCAAGGCACTAGTGGTGGTCCGATTAATTGAAATAATTGAAGATTGGTCGCAGTGACTAAGCGACCAAGCAATCGAACATGTTTTCTCATAATCGAACACAAACAATTCTGGAACACTTGTTGCATTAACAATGTCTTTCACACGGTTGGTTTTGTCTGTTACATTTCATGAGGACAACAAGCTCGTCCAAGTCATGATGGAATTTATCTTAAAGACCCCCAAGAAATTTATGTTCCTAACATACTAGTCATCCTTTAAAGATAAGCAATTTGCAAAAAAACAACAACCCCAAAGAACTACAAGTTTTTTTTATATGTTTTTGTGCGAACAAACATAACCGGGAAAATCTGATAAATTACGCTAACCAATTATTTTCGATGATTGATCGGTTGTAATGAACCAATCATCAATTATGAGATTTTAACCAATTCCCAACACTACAAGGCACATTTGTAAGGTTAAGGCGTGAGTAACAACACAGGCACAGCTTGCCTGCCCTTCAGCTGGTAGTGTGTTCCTGTTGTGTTCAGCTCAGCTGTAAAAGTCCACGTGCCAATACCAGGATCCTGTGAACCAGGCCAATAGATGCAAAAGAAATTCTGCCATTAGTGCGTGAAAACGGATCCCAACGGTCCTCCGTGCCCAATTGCTGGCATGTTGCTGAGAGTGGTGTTAACCAATACCTATTTGATGTAATCATGGTAACGGATTATATTCCATTATACTGATAAAAAAAATGTCGCAGGATTATTTGGCCATAGATGTTTGGAGAACTTTGACCAATGCTCATGAAAAGAAATTATATTAATAACAAGATGGCACTCACAGGCTTGTGCTAATTCGTATCCATGCCTTTGAATAGAGGTAGACTAGAATCTGACAGTGCAAGAAAACTTAAATGGAAGGTCAGTCTATTGTCACTTATTAATCTAGCAAGTACTGGTACTGTCTCAGTTTTTACAAATGCACTCTTAGTTTTGTAGCACATTTAGAATCTTGTGCAAGGAGCTCTGTAGGAAGTAAGCCTCACCAAGCAGTGAATATGTATTGGGCGAGATAAGATCGCAATGTCACTGTGAACCTTCTAGTGCCTCATAAGCAGCTTGGGTTGTACACACCTCAGGGAGTTGAGAATGAAAAATAGAGAGCACACTGATTCAACGATTTTTTTTCAAGCATGTATTGTGTATGGAGGTACACACTTTCGTGGACAATTATTAGTAGTTTGTCAATGAGCACCTGGCCATGTCGCAAAGACTCTCTTTGTCTTGATTCTAGTTCGTTTCCTGTCTCTAAACCCTATCTTCTTCCCTGTCATCGTATGTTTAAGATATCACTAAGAACTAGTGTGAAACCACCTCTTTTGCTCACTCATCATGGGTATGAGTCATTGTGTAATTGACTTGAGGTAATTTCTGGAGAGACTGAACATGCTATAATTATAAACTGGCCCGTTTAAACAGCTGAGTGTAAGTATTGTCAGGTGAGAATCGTGCAGGGCCAGGATCTAACCAGTCATGTAGGGCAGTGCATCCACAATGCAGAGTTGGGTCGCTTTGGCACACCTGATACTTAACATTGTGTGGGGTAGCGGGGTAGCCTAGTGGTTAAAGTGTTTGCTCGTCGCGCTGAAGACCCGGGTTCGGTTCCCCACATGGGTACAATGTGTGACAGTGTAAGTAATCTTAGGCTCAGTATTATTCGTTACACTGCTGTACTGAGTCTAACAAACCCTAGTAGAAGGTTGCGTCAGCTAACCTTTTGGAGTGACCAATCAGAACACAACTTACCAAATCATGAAAGTTAACATTCGCACATACCGTTTGAACTTTTACCTAAAAACTCGACGATTCCGAATGCTATTTTCCACACGGTCGCTTCCGAGTGATACACATGGAGGACGCAATGAGTTAACAGTCGCTGAAAATAGCGTTTTTGTCAATATTAAAGGATGTCATCTTGCGGAAATATAAGCTAATAAGAACCATGTCATTAGAAACCCCTAAGCATATATACTGCAAGTCAAATATCTGTGTTTATGTGGATTTTCATTTTTTGATAGATCAGTGTCAGCAACCAGGGATGAGATAATCCAAAATGGTATTTTGTAAGTCCCGCTGAACCCTAACAAGTAGTCATTGTCTGATTGGTTAAATCCCTTTGTCCATCTCGTGTTTGACTGGACAGTCATAGGTGGCTCATAGGTTAGCTGATGCAACCTTCTACTAGGGTTTGTTAGATTCCGTATAGCAGTGTAAATAATAATACTAAGCCTTAGTTTACTTAGACTGAATGTGTGAAGCCCATTTCTGGTGTCCCAAGCCATGATATTGCAGGGGAAAATTGCTAAAAGCGGCGTAAGACTAAACTCACTCACTCACATAACATTGTGGGTTTGAATCCCAGCTTGCTCCAATTGTTTTAGGTTTGTCAGCACCATATCCATGTATGTGGGTTTGACCAAGGACATCCCTGACTTTACTCCCAGATTTAGCTGACAGGCTATATTTACTGGAATACTGTTTAACGCTGCATTAAACCCACCTTATCATTCACTGATGCAGTGCAGTTAATGGGGGAGATCCCAGATAATTATCAAGTAGACTGAACATTACAACTGGATCATGGACATATTTAATAAGTGTTTTCCTTTGTATACATGATATTGATCATACAGAAAGTTCCTTTGAAATCATTTGCTAAATTTACCTGTATATTGTTTTGTGTGACCATTTGTTTGTGATACTGTACATGTTATAATCTTGTTATGAGTGAGCTGTATAGAAGCCTTGAAATCTGATATGGTGTGAGAATGACTTGAAGTACATTATAGGAATGCTTCACCTTTTGTTGTCATCAGTTTGCAGAGTAGATCCTCTATATGTCTAGTCACTCATGCTTGCTCTCTGTTATGATGTATTTTCATTTTAATTTATATTGTATTAAAATGTGATAGTGTAATCACTGATTGGCAATTGAGTAGTAACCTTGCTTTGATGAATGTGATAGTTACCTTAGTCAAAAGTTGTGCTTTGGGGGTCAGTTGGAGTTGTCTCCCTTAGAGCGTATGCCTGTGGAAATGGGTAACATTCTGTGAAACGTTTGTAACATACAATTGCACAACTGTCTACTATTTTCTATGCAAAATGGTACACACTGTTCAGTGCTAGGTCCCTATTTATTTGAATGACTATTTTTAATGAACCATTGTGAAGAGATTGTCAGTGCTTTGACAACAATTTGGTGCTGAAGCGGACATGAATCGGCCTATTGTTGCAGAGTGTCTGTATGTTTTGTAACATTGCTGTTTCATCGTGTACATGTACTATATTCTTTCTTCTGATATTTGTGGAATTGTCAGATAAATCACATTTACCTTTTATGAAGCCCTACAGTAACTCTGCATGCTCAGTCATACATAAGGCCATCAGTAGAAACTAAGTCCCATTGATCCAAAATCTCACAGCTCAAATTTACAGTCAACTGCAACATTCATGTCTCTGATGAGCAGACATTTTTCTCTATTTTTAAAATGGTTTTGAACAGAGCTGTAACCATGGTAAGAGCTTTTGCAGACAATTGCCTCAGCTGCTGTTGTAGATATTATAAACCTCTGTCGGAAATGAATTTTTCATGTTAGCCGAGTGATTGAGTTCTTTTTTATATGCCTCAGGAAGACAGTCCAGATGAGTCCACTACAATGCAGATTCATTGTCTCTGGTCCAGTCGCCACTAGTTTTGGATAAACTGCAGTAATGTGTTGTGTTGGTTCTGACACCTCCCAGACAATCAGTAAAACTGTGATGTTGCCATCTCCAGTCTACACACTTTAACCATAAGGTCACACCTCCTCATTGACAAAACAATAAAACCTGGAGCCTGAGTTCAGCTCAAAACACTTGTCCTGTGTGGTAAATGTTACACTTACAATGTTCTGTTGGTAGGCCATTACAGTACGTGTTTCTCAGGAAGGGCCGCATAGGAGTTGAGTCATGAAATTTGTCTTTGATGCCATACTGAAACTTGGGCTCAGTACCAAGTCAGTATATAGGACTGTCGCAGGAGTCGCATGCACACCACGTGGGACATCACATACCGTTGTATTTCACTTTAATGATAAAAAAACTGTACATGAAGTGAAAAAACACAGACGACGTTTATTTAGTTGTTCATCTAAATTTAAATCATTTCCACTATGAGCACACACGAACATGATGTACCAATACTATAACACACGGTATATACAGTAGTATGTGATACTGTCAGGTCGCTTGGCATATACGTCGTTTATTTAGACAACCGGTAACAATTAGCTGCGCTTATCTCTCCTCCCGGCTCATACACAAGCGTGGTCACCGGTCCAAGTCGTCAAACGTTCGAATTCGCTGTGCAGAGTTGCTTCCCTTAGCGTGCCAGGAATCTATAATCAGTTCGGTTCGCCTTCATGTTTCAGGTTTGTAGGCCCCTTGCCAGTGCTTTCACTAAAGCAGCAATCGTCTAAGGTGTGTGTCACTTTGGGTTTAACTCCCACATCAAGCTGACCCACAAAAATATAACTAAAATGCTATTTGCTATATTTACTGAAGGGGCGGTGGGGTAGCCTAGTGGTTAAAGCGTTGGCTCGTCACGCCGAAGACCCGGGTTCGAATCCCCACATGGGTACAATGTGTGAAGCCCATTTCTGGTGTCCCCCGCCGTGATGTTGCTGGAATATTGCTAAAAGCGGCGTAAAACCAAACTCAGTCAGTCAGTATATTTACTGAAATACTTTCCGCTGAACATGATTATTTTTTATCAAAGGGACACACTAGTTTGTTTTATCTGTGGATATTTTCTGCTTTTGTTTCTGTGATTGACTTGACCGGACACCCAAACAGGCCACACGGCCGGTACGAATGATTTTGAACCAAACAATATCACCTTTTACTGTCACTTCAAACATTACAGTGACCTTATTACGCTACATACAGTGGTGATGAAACGAATGGGCACACTGAAGCATAATCACTTAATGATGACAGAACCTGGGTCCTTCCAGTTAGTTGATATCGACGTATGTTGTCTATTTCTGAAAAATACACAACTGTTTCTTCGTCTGGACATTTTCTAAAGTGGTGAACCCCATCTGGTTATATCGCATGACCAGTTAAATCTTCAGGATTGTTCAGCAACTTATTTTCATTCATGTTTGTAACCATATCGGATAACGCGTCTATGGTATTAGTGTGAATCTGATACATGATTACGCCATCAGACTAGTTATTGAACTCATAACGATGTTTAAGATAAACGTCTGTATTTCTCCTAACCCATAGAACCGACTGTTTCAGTGATAGATACCTTACAATAACTGTCAGATGGTAACGAAAGGATTTACCAACACCTATTTTAAATACACATTCATTCTCTTGTTCATTTTGCAGGAATATTTGCAGGGGTATTTTGGATAGAGTGGTGGGCACACTCATTACTGGGAGTCATGGTATTCCTTTTGCTTAGGCAGAACGTTTGACAAATGATCAAGTTTGTAAGTCGCCCTTCCCATTATTTTGGAGCACCGTCAAACGTATGTTTGTGGCTGTCGTGCACTAAAAGATATTTCGATGGAATTAGATAATTTGTTATTCTATTTGCAAAACAGCACTATCCATGGTTAGAAAGGAGGAGACAGTCAAGGAAGATCACGGTGGACTTCAACAATTCGGCAATGGAACCGCCAGGCTAACATCACTGCCCAAGTTACCAGATACCTAAGTTACTGCCAGCTTTCCCGCACGTATGTACCCCAACCCTACTCCAATCCGACTCTGACAAGACGGGCAAGCATACCTCAATGATACTGTCCCGAAAATATATTCAGTACACAACAATGACGACGTTCATGGTTGTTACTAGTAAATACGACATTACGTATGAAATGATCGGGAGGATCGCCCGTCGAGAATATTACTTGTCCCGAAGTAGCGGGCATGCATGTATTTCAAAGGTTGTGTAGAGGATTCCTCCAGAAATCGTCTTAAGTCTGTTCTACGTTACTTGAAATATTCTGAAAAATTCAAATGAAAAATCTTTACTTTTTATAATTCAAATCTGCACTAAACCTAACTCACCGAACAAAACTTTAGCCTAATTGATTATGCAGCACACTAACCCAGTTTGGGTGCCGTTGATAGCGACTATGGGTTACTGAACAGATCACCAGTGGAGATGCCTGCCTGGCGTGTGTACGGTGGCTGATAAGCATGTTTCAGATTGCAAATCGTCCGCATTAACAAACAATCGATCCGAAGGTACAGGCTATCTCCAACCACAGATATCGTACACCGGGCGAACTACATGATAAATAATGGCCAGCGAGCGTCGGAATATGCACAGCAACAAAGCTCTACCGCACTGTAGACACAGACAACTTTACATGTATGTAACGAAAGAGCTGGTTAAACTTGCCCACTGCTTCGTTCATGGTGGCGGTTCATACGTCCCATATGTTCAATATTAAGTGTCCCATGCATATAATTGGTCGAGGAGACGTCCTATCTCGCCTTGTACAGCCTGGAGCCATCAGGGAGAGTGTTGGGCATCTTCTGCTGAGACACCAGGGCGTTTTCCCAGCCACGAGGTGACCTTGGAACGGTTCAGCGGGAAGACGCGCTCTGGAATGAACATGCATAGATCGGTATGACAAGCAGACTCCAGATACAGAGTAGAGTCTCTGAATCTACGTTTCCCATTGCACGTTGGTTCCATGTTGATTATCAGGTTCCGTTATCAGTCACTGACGATGTGGTCACGGGTTGTTCCAGTCAAGCGCACCAGGCAGGAAGTCGAACGTTGATGAGCCGTGAGTCACCAGAACGGGGAAGCAAGATAACATATCTTTTGGTGCTGTTTCACCAAGAGAGAAACACAATAAATGATATAGTACCCGTAGGGTAGCTCCTTTCTTTATACAGCATGTGGCATGTCATCGCACTGAATACACGTCCTTCACAAGGTCAAAGAGAGTGCTTTAGTGCTATATTGGTAACCCTTCCTTGAGACACGGACCAGTTTCTGTTGGAGAAGACATGAACGTCTACCACAAAGACTCATTTGTCCTGGACGACATCATCGACAGGCGAACACGTCAACGACAGCCGCACTCTGCCACCTGCATACCCTCGAATTTCCATTTGAAGGTTGGGACTTTGTTCTCGTCGAGGTACAGGATAGAGATGGGGTTCAGTTTGGTGGGAACGCAACACGCACGTGCCACCTCCTTGGGGCGCGAGGTGTGGAACAGCATCTGAATGACGGCGTGTTTGGTGGGGGTGAGGTGGTCGCTGAGGGGGTAGTAGCACTTCCCCACACACTCGAATGCCTGAAACAGATACACACGTTATATAATACCAAAACCCCAAACAACACAACGTTTCAGGATAAAAAATACCATGATGATTAAACACTGAAAGATTATATTCATACCTACCTACAATAGAATTATCAATTTCTAGGGCTGTGTGGAAGGGAAATGGTTCGGGCGTTCCTCATTACACCGAAGCCCTGATTTAACATGGGCAAAATGTATGATATCCAGTTATGGTGTTCGTGACTGAAGGAGTGAATAGGTTTGGTTTATCGTTGCTTTCAGTAGCATTTCGGTTAAATAAGTTTGATGTGGGGCGAATTCAGGTTCACACACTTCAGCGAAACCTGGACATATAGTAAAAACCTTCAGGGAAACCCATGCAGATAGTCCTGAGAAACCTGGACATGTATTACTGAGAAACCTGGACATATAGTACTGAGAAACCTGGACATATATTACTGAGAAACCTGGACATATAGTACTGAGAAACCTGGACATATAGTACTGAGAAACCTGGACATATAGTACTGAGAAACCTGGACATATAGTACTGAGAAACCTGGACATATAGTCCTGAACATATATTGAGAAACTGACATATAACTGAGAAACCTGGACATATAGTACTGTACTGACTGAAAACCTGGACATATAGTCCTGGAAATGGATATGTATTACTGAGAAAACCTGGACATATAGTACTGAGAAACCTGGACTGAGAAAAACCTGGACATATAGTACTGAGAAACCTGGACATATAGTACTGAGAAACCTGGAAATATAGTACTGAGAAACCTGGACATATATTACTGAGAAACCTGGACATATAGTACTGAGAAACCTGGACATATAGTACTGAGAAACCTGGACATATAGTACTGAGAAACCTGGACATATAGTACTGAGAAACCTGGACATACCCTGGACATATAGTACTGATAAACCTGGACATATATTACTGAGAAACCTGGACATATAGGACTGAGAAACCTGGACAAATAATACTGAGAAACCTGGACAAATAATACTGAGAAACCTGGACAAATATTCAGGGCGAATCTAGGATAACAAATCAAGTTTCTGGCACAGCTGACATGCCACTCAACGAACTGGATCTTAAAGGGCTAATTAAATCATTTGGAGATACATAAACTGTAACAATGATTGTACGTCTGTTTTCATTTTTTGTTTGACTGTTTTATTAATGCCCCCTTCCCACCCTTTCAGAAATCCTCAGTCCTTAACTTTTAGATGTGACGGTGCTCACTCTTTGTCTTTCAACTCAAATCTGTTCTGAATGTATCAGATATGTAGTCGTATTAAGGTTCTTCGTGTCAGTGAGTAACGTCTCCATGTTAAAACTAATTGTACAATGTGTTAAGCCCATTTCTGGTGTCTCCTGCCGTGATCTTGCTGGAACATTGTTAGAAGCGTCGTTAAACCATACTCACTCACTCACTCACTCACTATAATTAATGATCATCACAAGGCTCGCGGGCGTAAATGCCTTGTTGGACGTTCGGTTGATTGATTGTTTACATACTGATAATGAAATATGCTAAATTTGTACTTGTTGAACAGTAGGCAGTCATCTCACTTTCCTTGACTGGTCTTAAAGGTAATCAAACTCAATAAATATACTGTGAACATTATCGAAGGGGAAACGCTTCAGTTGTCAAAAGTGCGTAGCTGTTAAACCAGGGGTTATTTGAACAGGTGAAATATTCATGATGACGCTTAAATAATGTATGCTGCGAAGTACAGGTTATATCTGTATGTTCAAGCATAAAGTAACAACGCTCCCTCATGCATTCATAAAACATGCAGTTTTAGATCAAATAATCCTACATCCTTCACAGAAAAGAATTGATTTTAAAGTTTCACTGCGCACGTCTTCAAAAATACTGGAGATATAAATTTACAAATACCAGTTCTCAAACTGATCAGTAACACAAATGAACCGAGATAAGAAAAGAGAGGTTCACAGCAATAACGCAACATCCCCGTTGTTTGTGATCGGTGTCCGGAGTAACAGGGTCAAGTCTAACGAGGTTTAACTGCATTGTACGAAAAACACGCGCCCAGCACACTGACCCACTAACATTACCCGTCATAGAAATGCTCGTATTTGTCTGGACATGAAGCTGTCAAGATACAAAGGTCATCCACTGTTTATTACCTGTTATCTGCCTGGATTTACGTGACCTTTCCGAACATCTTGGTAGAACATTTCAAACAAAAGTAGTTATCCAAACTACGAGGGGAACATGGTTATAAAACAGTTCTCTGATACGGGTCTTTATTACCCCCGGTAGCCTACGATAACATAGGTGCTGGTATTTTGCAAGAATTTCATTCATAAACATTACGTTAAGCGAAACACGAGGTTGTTCCAACCAGACAGCGAATGGACTTGGAAGTAGGAAAGCGTTCATGCCTGGTCGGTTTACAGGACGAACAATAAATATAACAACTGATTTAAATTAAAACTCTGGAAATATTGCCGTAGACTTCCTCAACATATATTGTCAGTTCCATTTTAACAAAAAGTTCAAGTTTGTTATGTTTAGAAAAGGCTATTGTTATTATTATTATTACTCGCTACAATTATTGACCATATGCTAGAACGCTAGGTTTATTTTAGAAACCGCTTAGAATAATGTCACGATTGTGTCTAGACGACTATATCTGGTTTATCTGACGTTGTAAGTTATCCGTCGAATCATTGGCGTGGGGACAGTATATCATCTCCACACCGCTCAGTGCCACCTGCTACAGACCGTTTCCCCGTTCTCCACACGTGCATCTTACCGCTGGTTGGCGAGGTTGAAGTCATGTAATGGGCAGCTACTTACAATATAGAATGGCGCACATGTCAGATGACACGTGGGTTTATGAGAACAATGTCAGGTAATAAGCGTATTTATTCCTCGTCTTGGCAATTACCAACTTGTTATATCACTATGTTTTAACATATGTAAAGCGATAGCGGTAATTCTGGTTCGGAACAATCTTAGGCAGTTTTATCAAACATAGACAATCTTTAATCTTTATTCCTGTTATTAAACATTTTTATCTTCTTCAGTTTATTTCGGAACTGAGGAATGTTTATATAGATGATGTATATGATGACTAAATACTTCAGTATTTCAACTTTTGAGACCACTTCCGGTGAGGCCAAGACAGTAGTAAGATTGCATACAATTTGGATGTATCAAGTGACTTCTATTAAACTAACAAGGCACAACCTCCAGGTTTTCTGTTCTAATGTGTAAGTGTACGAGTGCTTCCAGCGCTGTACCAGTCTTTATACATATATGTCGGGGTAACACGAAACATGGACTCCAAGCATTTTACACATAATATATGGTGAATCGAAAGCTTTAAATACTGCCCAGAAATGACATGTTGCAACTTTAACTGATTTAGGTTTCTATCGATTTCAAATTAGAGAGAAAAATTAGATTTTAGTTCTCGCTACGGCTACAAAGAGAGCTAGGGCATTCCATTACATGTCACTTCAGAATGACCTTATCGCGAACTTGTAATGACTTACGAAGTCTACAATAGTCAATAGGAAAGCAGCCTTTTCGAGTGTAACGACTTGTTTCAAACTGGTAATTTCAATTCCGGATCACGCTTTTGAAGAACTACTCGATTTAAATTCCACATGTGAAAAAAAATGTCTTCTAGATGGCAGAGATCGAATGGAAGTACAACCATGGCTATGGGAATGTTTCGAAGGTTTAGTCCACTGAACATACACGGTGATTTTGAAGGATTCAGTCTTGCTGCCCGGTCATAGTAGGTACTAATTACATAAATAAAACGGATCAAGGCGGTTAAATGAATAGTCACACCTTGTCGGATAGAAACAAACATGACGTGATGAAAGTTGTCCTAGTTCATCATGACGATGCCGTGAATGAGTGAGGTTAGTTTAAAGCCGTTTTGAAGAACGTTTGCGGTGTACGGTAGACATATGTACAGTCTTTCTCTCTTCTGATTATGCATAATGCTGATTTGATAATAAACTACATTTGCGAGTTCCTATCTGACAAGATGACTGGGCACTTTACAGCTAAATCCGACAATTTACTTCACTACCCGAGTTTTGCTTTTGTCGCCGCTTTTAAGTGTAGTATAACAGGGCGTGTCGGTCTGATGTTGGAGATAAGTCCGAGCACAGGCCCTCGTGTCTTTGCGAGGATTAAAGATTAAAAATATATTGTCATCTCAAATTTTGTACTGATAAACCCGACATATAATCAATACGGGATTCGAACTTATCTCTAACAACCTTAATGAGTGAGTGTGATATGATGGTTTTAACCATCTTCCAAAGGCAAGGGTTAGCTGGCTATAACAGATCAATTTCCACCCTTGCCGAACAATGCTTAAAGTGATTCTTTTGCTGGACTAACGATTCTGAGCATGGTCCTATCTAACTCGGGTAACGAAGTGGACATTTTGTTCGCAAATAGTATGTCGACCGCAGAGCCAATTTCAGTTAGATTAGGGGGGTGAAAGGTATGTGTATCGCCAACTGAGCGTCGAAAGATATCTTCGATGTCTTTATTCAGAGTGGTCCAGAGATCTGATGCACTTCTCGAGTTAGGACCAAGTAACATTTCAAAACAGATTGTCTTAACCGGGTGCTTTTTCAAGCAAATGTAGTTGAGGTTGAATCTGATTGGTCGAACGTAGAAACATAGAAGGGACATAACTTGTAATAGCTATACCCTCTGGTGGCGCTACGATCGAGCGTAGACGTTCCAGCTAAATTAGACACGATTTTAAACTGGGCTGAAACTGAATAGTGACGGCAACCCCTTGCCCCGGGAAGAAGAGTTTTAGCATTTTATTGCAACCTTATAGCAACCCAGTTATGTTACAGCGTATCAACTTGTAGGAGATAACCCCGAAGTATTACACGTCCATGACGTCTACAATTGATAAAACCCGGAGACACGAGTATGGAGCTGTCAAACCAAGAAACATAATGGAGGCGAGACAGGAGTCGATGCCACGATTATAACAGTGAGTGGATGTTGCTGCAGTTATAAATACTGACAACATTACTCAGCAACCATCCACACTTGTGGGGTATCAGAGCTGACCGAACGAGCTCTGTTTTAGCGCGACAGGCCGAGCTATACTTCCGTTTCACGGTATCTCTTATCGTAACTCCTACCCTGACATGCGACGGTCGTGAGATTGGTTTGTTAATTCACTCGCATCGAGAATCCCCCCGGAAGGTTATTATGTTCATATGTATATTTCAAATACTAATGTGCCTAAAGACATACCGTTAACATTACATTTGTAATCGAGATTGTTGCTGGCGACCATGTAGGCATTATCTCCCGACCACAGGCCCTAATGTACGGATATAGCTTAGTCCTGCAGACACTTCATTTGTGAAGTCGCTGAATTATAGCTGAGAAGATGAGGGTATTGACAGTCAACGATTATATAACATACCTGATTATGAAAGTTACTCAGTTCCTTCAATTATCTCTTTTGCAATAACCCGTGAAGATCCGGGTTAGAATTGGTCTTCAGTAACTAATGCTTGTCGCAAGAGGAGACTAACGGGATCGGGTGGTCAGGTTCGCTGACTTGGTTGACACGTCATCGTACCTCAGCTGCGTAGATTGATGCTCATGCTGTTGATTACTGGATTGTCTTGTCCAGACTTGATTATTTACAGACATATAGCTGGAATATTGCTGACTGTGGCGTTAAACAACAAACGGACCAACCAAACCAACCAACCATTGCACTATGTATGAGTTGACATAATTCACACAAGATGTATCCTGTTGTATTGTGGGTAAGTTGTCCATGTTTCTTATGTTGGGTCACGGAGAGAAACTTAAAATATCCAGCACAGATACATTGCTGGCAAAATAAAGGTCGTAATTGGCTCGATAGAAAGCTTTCGGCAGCTAACCGACAACCATGTACAACAAATTGTTTCCAAAACCAGAGGACCACAAATGCCAAGGATGTGAACATAATTCATCTAGGATCTATTCACTTGAACTGAACTACCGGACCCCCTGGCGTATTCAGCTACCAGCATCTTACCTTGGGCAGCAATTGAAAGACTATACATATGATTTCACTACACAATGTGTGACATCAGATCACGCTACATATAGTGCGTACATTATGACGATTGTTTTTGAAGAATCGTTTAGCTGAGTGTGTTCAAAGGAATTTACGCATTCATTTCATTTAAAACAAACGAAAACTATACGAAATATGAAGTCAAAAGAGGTCAGTTAGTGTTGTGTCATGTGATCGCCACGTGCACGATACTGGTTCAAAATGGACCAATAATAGTGCAAAACGATGCTTATTCGACTGAGTCGAGCCGAGTGCTCTACAATGGTGTGTATGGTCTAATGATTTATCACCTGGGTGTGATAGGAGTAAGGTCAAGAGTATCGCTAGGTATTTACTGCACGAAATAAACACAGATGTCTGGGGGGCAATAGTTTGCTTAACACGGTATTTGTTCAGCCTGTTACTGAATCATTACCTGGTACCCTGACGGCGCTATAATCCACTTGTGCCAGTTTATCTGCTGGAAGCTGACGTACAGCAGACCTCTTCGACAACTGTTTTTGCGGTTCTTCTTGCTTCTCTTAAACCTAGACAGTTGCTCAGTCGAATTAGAGTGTCTATGCTGATGCACGCTCTCCCTAAACATTGCTTCGTCTGCAACGTCCATTTCATGTGTGATCAACTCATGCAGTTCTTTCTCGCGAAGGCTCCGTTTCTGCTTATTGTTTGAGAAAATAATCAACAGGGGTTCATTCCTATGTTTTGGATCAGTGTCTATGTCCATAGCACCATCCGTCACGACGTTAAACACACTTTCTATGCGAACCTCGAGAATCTGGACGTAGCTTATGTTCTCAGCCCATAGGCGCACAGCGGAAGTGACGTCAAAAGCCTCCCATCCACTATTATGGCCGTAAATGTGGCGCGAGGACAATGTCTTGTACCTGTCCTCTGCGCCGAGTTCGATGCCCCGGTCTTGGAGCACTGACACAATCCTGTCAATTCCTGCGTAAGCGTCTCTGTCCTGCTGAACCAGTGTAAACAATCTCAACATGGCGTAGTCTATCTCCTCGTCTCTGGATATGCTGGTGATGTTGAACACAAGCTTGTGTACACGTGTATTGTTGCCGGGCAACTCGACTTTGTTGGTTCCGTTGAAGTCGAAGTCTGGAAACAATAACATTAATAGGTTATTATACATGTTTGATATTACGGGTATTAGCAGAAAGCGCTCGAAAGAGTGATAAGTTTCCTATATTCTAGATATTGTCGGTGCTTACTGGTCACATTGCTTCGCTGAGGCGGCCTGTTATTTATACAATTATCTATTGTTCGTGATATATTAATTATTTTCTCATGTGAATAATGTGTTAAAGTCTCTCTGTAATGCTGAAAATTCATACGTTTTTGTATACTTTTAATATGAAAATTGGACGTTGGGTACAATAATCAGCCGAATACCTGTGCATATATGTGTATGCGTTAGTGCGTTAGTGCGTTAGTGCGTGCGTGCGTGCGTGCGTGCGTGTGTGTGTGTGTGTGTTTGAAACGTCTCGAAACACAGCAACTTTTTTGCCAAAGTAATATTAACTCCAACCTTTTCCAATACATAGCTCGTGTGTCTGGGTACAATGTTTGACCGACAGCAAGGTCATGGTGTACGTCAATTTTTCAACGTAAACGAGGGAAGGAAATTTATGATTCTATGAACATTTAGATCGTTTCTCTGATTGTAGCAAACGAATATTTATCACTTATGAGTTGATCTTGATAGTGTTTTACCCTTGATATTTTGTATAATTGGTTTTCAGACAGTTTTGAAAGTGCCTACAATCTTGTATTCACAACTCCCTTCAAGCATCTAAATTTAGCATTGCAGCTCTCTTTTAGTACAGGCCTTTTCACCCAGGCCTTTTTCGACCAGAAGTGGCAACTCGAAATACGCTGTTTGCCCTCGGCAACAACCCCTGTATCAGCGTTTGTCGCCATAGGTAGATACATACCTACACATCCATCGATCATTGCAAAACGTGTTGTAGATACAGGAAAGACTGGGAACGAGAAACTAATATAACTTCTGTGACCTATGGCCAACTCAAGGAAATTTAGACTTTCAAAATATATAGGTGTCACTGTAGGAATAGGAGACTATTTCCAATCTCGCAAAAACACAGTGCTTATAAAATACGGTGTTCTCTTCCAGGAGCTGTTTACAGGAGAAGAGTGTTCGATGTTTTAATTAAACGTTACATTTACGTAATTGTTCTTAACAATGAAGTCTTGACTTTCCCCAACCCCATCCCCGTCACCCCAACTCCTTGACGTCCGCCAGACCTTGATATCCCAAACAACACCATGACGTCCCCCACAAAACCATGTCGTCCGCCACAATACCTTGACGTCCCCACAACACCTCGACGTCCCCGCAACACCTTGACGCCCCCACAACACCTTAACGTCCACCACAACACTATGACGTCCGCCACACCTTGACATCCGCCACACTACTATGACGTCCCCCACAACACCATGACGTCTGCCACAACATCTTGACGTCCCCACAACACTATGACGTCTGCCACAAAACCGTATCGTCCCCACAACACCTTGCGTCTGCGTCTGTCACAACACCCCGACGTTCGCCACACCTTGACGGCCCCAAAACACCTTTGACATCCCCACATGACACTGCTGACACCCCCACAACACCTTGACATCCCCACAACACTATGACGTTCCCAACAACACTATGACGTCTGCCACAACACTCTGACGTCCACCACAACATCGTGACGTCCCCACAACACCTTGACGTCTCCCACAACACCTTGACAACCCCCACAACACTATGACGTCCGCCACAACACCTTGGCATCCCCCACGTCCCCGTCCGCCACAACACCTTGACATCCGCCACAACATCGTGACGTCCGCCACAACACCGTGACGTCCGCCAAACACCTTGACCTTGACGTCCGCCACAACACCTTGACATACAACACCTCCCCCCACAACACCTTGACGTCGACGTCCCCCACAACACCTTGACGTCCGCCACAACACTGACGACATACGCCACAACACCTTGACATCCCCACAACACCTTGACGTCCCCAACACCTTGACGTCAACACCTTTGACGTCCCCACAACACCTTTGACGTCCGCCACAACACCATGACCCGCCACAACACCTTGACGTCCGCCACAACACTATGACGTCGGCCACAACATCTTGACTTCCGCCACAACACCATGACATTTGGCATCCCCACAACACTATGACGTCTGCCACAACACCTTGACGTCCCACAACACCGTGACGTCCCCACAACACCTTGACATCCCCACACGTTCCCCACAACACTATGACGTCGGCCACAACACCTTGACACACACCTTGACGTCCGCCACAACACTATGACGTCCACCACAACACCTTGACATCCCCACAACACCACCTTGACATCCGCCACAACACTCTGACGTCCGCCACAACACCTTGACATCCCCACAACACCTTGACACAACCCCTTCCGCCCACAACATCGTGACGTCCACAACACCTTGACATCCCTCACATCACCGTCCGTAACAACCCTTGACATCCCCCCACACACCTTGACATCCCCACAACATCGTGACGTCCGCCATAAGACCTTGACGTCCGCCACAACAACCTTGACATCCCCATAACACCTTGACATCCGCCACAACATCGTGACGTCCGCCATAAGACCTTGACGCCCCCCACACGTCCGCCATAAGACCTTGACGTCCCCCCACAAAACCTTGATATCCCCATAACACCTTGACGTCCGCAACAACATCTCAACAATGCAACACTGTCTCACACAATAAAGCCCCTTCGTCTCTTATATCGGAACTTTCACACTCTGTACCGCAATGACGTTATGACATGACACACACACACACACACACACACACACACACACACCCCCACCCCTTGATGATACAGTGACGTCCCTCACTATGGAACCTTGACATCCCTATGACTTCGTCTTCCACCTGACATCTTGACGTTATCCCAAATGACATCTGAAAGTGACCCCACAAAAACACATCAACGTCAGCCTCAAATCACACATGGTCCTCATTCCCATTAATACCTTGATGTCTTCTCCCAATCACTCCTTGACACCCCTAACGACATATCGACATAGCGTTGTTCATGACGTCACGTCACCATGACAAAGTAATATTTTGCCTCAGGGTATTGTATGAAAAGTATAAACCCCGATATTTTCGCTCTCGTAGGTAATAAAGAGGAATATTTGCTGACTGCAGCATAAAACAACCCTCACTCATTCACTCCCGCTCTTAGATTCGTCGGACAGAACACAAATATACACTTGGTCAGTATTTTAGATACTAACTTGTTTGGTCATTGAAACACAGTTGACTTTTTCCTCAGAAAAAATATGTCATAATGAAGACTTCAAACAGATACGTGCACAATCTGGGATTGAAAAGGTCTACTACTATCTAAAGTGTCGGATCAAAGGCATGTTATACATCAAAGTTCCAGCGACACATGTTCGTTACTTGCGTTGTCTGCTAATTATACATCATAATGCTATTTGAAGGTGTTATCTTAATAGGAAGTTGTGAGACCACAGACGACCTCGGCATGAATGTGCTGTAATCACTTGGTGGCTGATATCGACACGTGTTCCCCTTTGCAATCCCTGCGAACCTTGCTACAGCTTGTTTTCCGTGCCACGGCATTCCATAATCTAACCTGGGAGTAATTTTACTTTATGAATGCATCAATCGGAGAATAACTTCAGGTATGTGATAAAATCAACAGAAAAAGAAAAACAAAGCACGCGCACGTTCTCAACTTCCGGTAAATCGGTGTCAGTTTCAAGCGTCAATTACGACGCAGATTGTGAGTGACTGGAAATAGTGGTCTGTTTGTGATAACAGTCGTCTATGGAGATATTGTAAGATAGCCGCTGCCGTTTCTGTCCTAGACACAGGGCATGCGGAGGGCTTGATGAGGAGCTATACTCATGTATCCCCTTGAGGGAATTGTTCTCCGCATTCTCTGGATTGTAAGCTTCAGATGGAACCCAGCACGTGGCCACCCTGAAAGTTGGAGGTAGCGTTATACACTATGTCGTAACCTTGCACCCAGCGCCAACAAAACCATCACTGTGAGATGGCACAGTGTGTGGATATTCATGAAAACACAATAACATACTGACTGACTGAGTTTAGTTTTACGCCGCTTTTAGCAATATTCCAGCAATATCACGGCAAGGGACACCAGAAATGGGCTTCACACATTGTACCCATGTGGGGAATCGAACCCGGGTCTTTGGCGTGACGAGCAAACGCTTTTACCACTAGGCTATCCCGCCGCCCCCAATAACATACACTGATGGTTTAAATACAAGTCATGATCATTTATTGAATCACTGACTAGGGTTTACGGTACTTGTAATATTATTATATAGCCTACTATAATATTATTCCCACGGAAGCCGGAAATGGGTGTCATACAATTTTCTCAAATTATTGTTTTTTTAACAACTTGGCATCCTGATCGTACTCAGTGTTCCAGACAATAGGTCCTCAAGATCTTGCATTACATAAAAGCTTACAAATGTGGATTAGGTGGCAGAAGTTTGTGTCCCTTATTTGGTAATTTACAGACCGCCGAGACATACTTGGAATATAGACAACTGCCGCGTTAAATAACACTCTTGTACGACCAAACTTCAGCAATTCCATGCCTTTGGAGTTTCACCTGTCATACTTGACATGGCTGTTCCTTATACATCTGACAGAACACTTACGGACTGACTGTGACTGAGTGTGTAACGTAACTTTTGTAAGAATCCGCTACGCGGTTCATATTCTTTGCTCAAAGGTTTTCGATTCAATGAACCGAACAAAATACAGTCAATGCTTATAATTAAATTCGACAACGAAAACATGTGGACGAAAATGACGTGATTGATAAACATTCCTTAACTGTGACGTGAATCAGGCGACTTTATGGTTTATGCATATAACTTGATCCGACCACTAATCTCGCAGCCAGTCAACGGATAGCATCATCAAACACATCTTAGTGTCAAGGGAAGTGACGAGAACACCACTCAGGCCGTTAGAAACCGGTAGCAATATATCAGTACA